TAAAACCCTCTGTCAGCCCACTAGCTCCCATCGCCGCCGCGTATATCCTGTTTTTATCTATAATACCAAGTCTATGACTTCCTATGTCCTAGTCTGTTGTGTGTCAACCAACAATTAAAGCAAGCATTACCACAACATTTCTGGGTTGGCACATAAGAGACTAGGGCATAAGAAGTCATAGACTTGGTATTAGGGAAAGAATCAGGAAATACGCGGAGCAGACTGGAGCTAGTTGGCTGACTGTAGGTTTTACCAGAGACGTGGTCCACGTAGCAAAGGCTTGACAATGAGACTTACTCAGAGGCTATAGCCTCGAATTAGTCACTCAGATGCAGTGTGGGAAATAACTCCTAGAGTAGCACAGATGAAGTGGCAGAGATCGAGTGAAATACTCGAACCAGGGCGATAGCAGACGGATTCTACGGGGCAAGAAGGAAACTCTGATAAGACCTAGGGGAGGACGCCGTAACAATATGGCAGAATCTGATCAAAATTTCCAACACAAGTGTAAAAGGGATGAGAACGCCAACGTGTGTCGAGGGTTCTAATGAATGCCGCTCAAAAGGGCACACCACACTACATCTAAATAAGCACGGTAAAAATTCTAACAGTGAAGGCGTGATACGAGAATATAGGAAATGTGAATAGCCCAGGGTAGAAGGAGAGATACAACAACTGTTGAACACACGTTTAGTCAAGGCATCGGCTTCACTTGTCTCTTTGACTAGTTGTAGTAGGGTGCTAAGAATGGCGATACTTACTGACGATGCCGACTAAGATGACAGCGAAACGTCTGGGAATGTACCACGTCCACGGTCCGACTTTGGAAATGATCTTGCATGACAATGGACCCCTGACTAGGTGCGTTCCAATAAGTCTTCCTACCAATATGACCATGTTGCGAAAACAAGGTCAATGGACTCAGGACAAGGTGCGTTTCTATCAGTCTTCCTACCATTATGACCAAGTTGCGAAAACAAGGTCAAACGATGCCAGCGAAACGTCTGGGAATGTACCACGTCCACGCTCCTACTCTGAAAATGATGATGCATACTATACTCCGGACTAGGTGCGTTCCTCTAAGTCTTCCTACCAATATGACCAAGTTGCGAAAACAAGGTCAAACAATATCTGTAAAATAAGGTAAAGTTAAGATATTGAGAGTGTATTCGGATAGAAAAGACAACAAACATTGAATAAAAAGTTCATCAAGAGCTGGACTTGTCCATGAAGCGTAGGACCTCACCAATAAGGATGACAAAACTCAATGACTTCAGCAATTCAGAAATTCCTCAAGTGCAATAGCTTTAACGAGAGGAGGGCTCGCAACAGAGAGCTCAGATGAAGTAACTCCTTTAAATTGGAGTTACATAATTTAATGAATTTCAAAGTAATACTAGTGTTTTTTATGCTATTTGGCATAGGAATATGATTTTTTTGGAAGGTTTGCCTTTCTTAATAGCTCTAAATATCTTCGCTAGTATTTTTATATATTCTACCAGCATAAAGAAATTAATTGGGACAAAATGAGTGAGATGCGCTATTCAGAGTTTCTCCGAGGACATAACTAGGTGGCGAAAACGAGGTCAAGCAAAGGCAACATGCCATTGGTCTTATTATCTACTAGATATTCCAGTCTTCCTACAAGTTTAGCCTTATTTGAACATTAGCTGATTATGTATTACGAAGAATGACCCGAAACTTAAATGCCGTTCGGCATCTAGCTTGGAGGCATTCTATATGCCCTCAGTGTTAGTCTGCAACAATAAATCATCATAAAGCTTAGAATGTATTCTTATTCCAATTAAAACCTGAGTATTAAAAAATGAGCGCGCGAAATACTCGTGCTTTTTTTAAAAAAAAGCATGCAAAACATTTTGTGGCTTAGAGCAAATAACTGTCTGAGATTCGGAAAAGGTATAGCTGAAGCTAATAAAAAGTCAAAATTGAATATGCTCTCCAGGAACGTAGATTAATGCCAGAAACAAGGTAAAGCTGTGCATCCAAAAGCACTACTTCTGAGAGGAACCAATATTTGGAGAAGTCACTTGTTTGATTAGACATTTTCGCAGTTCGGGGAAGATCAGCTCCAAAAGCTCCCACCTACTGGCCCGATCACCTCGGTCAGCTTTCCGCTTTACCCGTTACTTAGTTCCCTCCAGTGAATTCCTTGTTTCCAGGCAAAGGCTGATTTTCACGACTTGATACACTGGCCTTATCAGCCTCGTATTCAGTGGATATACAAGGCTTGGCATCCAAGTCGCGTGATAGAGACCACGTATCAAGTTCACTCAAGGTAGTAGCTGAGAGACCAGTTCCTGTATTGGAAACCACACCAGTATCAATCGAGTTGAATGCAGACTGAGTCAGATTTTCGGCGTTGCTTCCAGCTGAGTCACTTTCTGGTGAATGTATCGAATCTGGAAGAAGAGTGGATTTGTCAAGGAATGTAGAATTAGAGTCGATCGAATGGGTCGTGCTTGTGACTCTAATTAGTGAACCTTGATGCTCAAGAGCACCGTCAGCAGCCGACTGAATTTAAAAATGATAAAGAAATATCACAACGAAATTTAGGGTCTACAAAATGACAACTAAGAACCCAAGAAGATCACAATGATAAGAAATGACGATTAACACATATAAACGGCTAAAGCACATAACAACAAAAGATAACGGAGGATTATTGTGAAATTTATATAATAAATAGCAAATTGCATCAACACTAAGAAAGTTATATGAAGGGGTCTGACCTCGTAATCGCAACTTAGCCATGCTGTCAGAACGAATTAACTGGACGCACCTCGTCCAAATCGCTCTGCTATAATAGTTATCATAATTTCCAGCGTTTGACCATGGACCACAGACCACACTCAGTGAAAGTGCCTTCTCTCGATTTCTGAAAGTTCATTATTTGCTTCTTCCTTGCGATTCCT